ATGCCTTTTTCACGTCCAGGAAGAAGCAGTACGTCGGCTTTCCCGCCCTCTTTCTACCTTGGATGATTCTCCCTACCGTGAACACGTGGTCTACGCACCCCCTCTTCTTGCGGAAACCTGCCTGGCCCTCACTAATGATATGATGGGAGAAAAAAAAAAAAGATGTGAGAACAATTCCGGTGCATCTCCGAAAAAAACTCAAAGAAGAACAAAGAAAAAACTCGGCTTCGGGAAGATGCGCCTTGAGACAAGTCGTTTGACGGTACTTTCAGGTTTCTGGACACCCACCCCTACCCGGAGAAAAGAGTACCACACCTTCTTGCGGGGCAGAAATACTGAACAAAACGTTGTGCATGGACCAGCTGGCATCGCAAATTTGTGCGTGTCTGTACATAACAAGTCATATCTAGAGGGGACGCGACAGACGATTGATAGGACGGTTCTCTCTTCTTCCCCTTCACTACAAAGGCGTCAACACGTCCCTTCGACGGTGGTTTTATCTCGAACGGGTTGTAGGTCTTTCTTTGAATGTTTTTATATTGAAAAAGACAAGAAGCCACGTCCTTGTGCTGTTCTGTGCTTTTTTGGCTGTGCTTTTTGTCTTTTCGTCTGCCTCCCTCGCACCCATCACCATGAAGAGTAGGTACTACAACAACACGCAACCAGCGGAGACCGCAGCGGATGTTTGTGTAATCGGTGAGCAACGCAAGACACGTTACCATGGGTCACCCGCTGAGTTTGTTGCACGCATGTAGTGAAGAAGTACGAAATTACATGTAGTGTCTGATATGTTTTTTGTGTAATTTTGCATTTTTTTTTTTCTCCCATCATTGGACTCTGTCGTCTGCCCCTCTGGCCCCTATCCTCCACTTCTACCAGCTAGACGACCCAACCGGGGTCACATAGGAGGGGGGGGCTGAACCCCCTCTTGCGGTTCCTGCCTGAGGTATTTCATCGCGAGAAGGGTACAGCAATCCCTTCCCTCGCGGCTTACGAAGTCGATTAGGGTTTACTAACAAACGAGCTTTGCAGCCCGTCGCTTTCATCCTAGACCAGGATTTATTTAGTGAGAAAAAATATCACTCTGCCGGGACTCGAACCCATGACCTGGCCCTTACCAGACTGCGAGGCTACCCACTAGACCACAGGGGCGACCGGTCGTGTGTGTGGTAGTGATGTGTTCATGAATGAAAGAACGGACGAGTGTGTGTATGTTTGTGATCATGTTTTCTGGCATGTTTCTCTGTTTCATATGGGCTGGAAGCCACTCCCTACAGTAACACCAAAAGGAACTCGTAAAACGCCTGCACATCCGTCTCTCCCCACTCGTCCGCCACGCCCGACGTCTCTCGGGCGCTCTTTTCCACCTCGTCTCTTGCCGCGGCCGCGGGGCAGCATTACTCACCGCTGTTGGATCGCCCTCCAACCCCTCCCCGTCCCCGAGGGTCGGGTCTGACAGTCTCGCGTTGATTGGGCCTCTGGTCCACAGCGGGGTGGTAGCCTTTTCCACGGAACCCACGGAGGTCGATCTTAGCCGTGACCGGTGATGGTGATGTTGGTCGTACGACTGCCGCCGCGTGGGTTGTGGCACCGCGAGGGGGGGGGGGGAGGGGGGTGGGGGGTTAGTTCAAATGCCAAAACAAGACACAACTGGAGGTAGCACGACATGGTGAGAGGTCTGCCTTCTGGTCGATTTCGTGCGGGGGGGAATGTCAGTCCAATCCGTCGGGCGAATTTCCCGTTAACCGTAAGAGTCAGCCTAAAACAAGAAGAGCCCGAGGGGGAAACACGCACGGGAAGGGGTGGAATAATCTGATGTGTTGCATGTCATTGCTGTTAGGCGATTGGCCACGCGTCCTCGAGAAGACAGAACACTGTTCCTTCCCACAGGACCGATCACCGAGGCTAACCCTTCCTGCTGCACTGTACTTTTGCCAATGGTGGGTTAAAAACTGTGTTCCACATCCTACCCATGTAACTCCATTCACAGCCGCGGGGGGGTCAGTAGAAAGAGTACACGAGAAAATAACAGAGGCGGTGTTGTCATTTCTATCATTTCAGGACGAACGTCGAGAGAGGGAGCGAGGCGGGACAGCAGTCGGACAGCCATGTGTTGGGTCTGGTTCCCATCACAAGTGAGCACGGCGCGGGGGAAACCTGCTCTCAGCTTGGTCATGGGTAGCAGAAGCCATTCGCCGTGCACCGGGTCCAAAAAACGGGGTCACAGCATCACACCGGCGTCAACTCAAATCGCTCCTCGAAATATGAGTCAGACGGGAGAGAAGCAGGCATGGAGCACGGCGAGAAAATCCAAGGTTCTTTTGCCTTAACCACAACCCACCCCAGACAACTCCATGCCGAACGCCAGCTCACTCCAGCCGGAGTCCTCCCGCGAAATCCCCTCGTGGAAAAAAACCTCGCTGTCGTCGGCAGAACCGTAGCCGCCTGATCCGGTGGAGTTTCCCCCTCCTCTGCCTGCGAGGTGCCCGAAAAGCTGTCCGCCCCGCACAGCGGCCTCCTCCACCCCGCCGGTTCTTTCAGACATGGCGGCGGCGTCAGTACGTCTTCTGCCGACGTTGGTCCCGCCGCCGCCAGTGGTCATTATATCTTGTGCTCCAGCGTGTCTCCTGAGGGGGGTTAAGAGGGTCAAGGAGACTATTGTTGTACCTTTGGGGCACACTTGAAAGAGTTTGTGACCTTGAGCTAGCTACATACACGTGGAGGTTTTGGCAACGAGCTAGCTAACCTGGCGACACAACGAGGGAAACAAAAATAATAACAGCAGTGGTGATGGCTATTACACCTTTGAGGTACACGTACGAGTTTGTCACCCTGAGCTCCGCGTACAGGCTTTGGCAACGAGCTAACCTGACAACAACAACAACAACAACAACAACAACGACAACAACAACAACAAGCGGGGAAAATTCTCAGCCCGTTGGTTTCGAAGCGGACTGGGTGGCGCATGCCACGGTGCACTCAGCAGAGGAGCTGTTCTCCATGTCGCCGACACGAAACAACATCGCTCTTTTCCTTCAAGTCTGGAACACGACCCCACTCCCCCTCTTAGTCGCCCACCTCGATAGCTCCATCGCCAGGCTGCTATCCCCGACGTCCAGCAAAAATCTCTCGTACAAGACTTCCCAAGCCTTTGGGGAAGACTGCGGTTTACGTACGAGCGTGGGAAAAACCACAAGAGGCAAGGATAAGGCACTCCAGCTCGAAGGCCCAGCAGGTTCCTCCGACGCTAGAGAGAGTTAGGGACGCTGTTTCGACAAATATATCTACGTGAAGAGGCGTTTTGATGACGTACGGAAGCCCCTCAAACGAGAGAAGGAGGCGAGCGCCCTACAGGAAAAACAAGCGACACATAGACCATCATGCCCGGTGTCACGGCCATCAAGACACGGTCCAAAAAAATCGGTGGGACGGCAGAGCGATGCTGCAAGCGAAAACACCAGGTAAGCTAGATGAAGCGAGTTTAAATGATGGATAATGTGAAGGCAACGACAACAATAACAACCACAAGATATGAAAGTCATAAGCTCATAGGACTAGCGTATGGCTGCTGCGTTGTGCGTAAGCCCGCGCTAACCGGTACCTTGGCGCTTGGCCGCCTTCCATCCCTTGCTCCGACGTTTACGGCCTCCTCGCCGGCGGCTTCGCTCAGCCCCTCAATGCTCCACGAACGCCACCTTCGAAATACATGGAGGGCGTGGGGCATGCCGTTAGGAGCCAAGAGAACTTGCCGGGGTGTGATCGATTCTCTTCCAATAGGTCATTTCATTCTTGACTTTTATCGACCCGATCCATGATCGAATAAAACCATTGAACGTTTGTCGCACGGGGGGTGCCTTATCACCGACAGGTGCGGTGACCGAGGAAACAATAAACCCTGCAGCAGTCGAACTATTTACGTGCTTTGACGCACACCATGCGAACACTCCGAAATGTGCGATTACCAACAAGTCACGCTCGTATTACAGTAGTATCTTCTGACTCGTTTTTTCCATCGATTATGTACCGCACGAGGCGAGCAGATGGAGCAGATGGTACGGCAAACCCGCTATGACCCACTTTCAAAGCTCGATTGCTCCGCAACCAAGCATGTGCAAACACCGATAGAGGTGGTTCTGGAAGCATCTCCTCCAGGGCTTTCCGTGCACGTATCAGGCGCCACTTGGTTGCGGAGCAATCGAGCTTTGCAAGGCGGTCCAGGAGGGATGCCAATATCTCCGCCCCTTACTGCGGTGTGCGATACGCGATGCCACCTGTAAGTTCGCAACACCTTCAGGATGGGACCGCGAGGTGCCTCGGGCGCAGGGAGTGTGCCACGGAACCGTTCGGGGCACTCAGAATCGGTGATATCGCAACCCCCCCTACGAAATTACTGATCTCCGTGCGACGATGGAATTACATCATTTCCTTCTTGGCTGTTATTCTACAAATATCGCACGGTGGTGCGATATCCCCGACCGGGACGATATTGCCGACCCCCTTCCGTTTCTCTCCTCTCGAATGCTCCAAGGCAGTGGCACCAAATCATTTTTGAGTGACCCCCCGAGGCTAACAAAGAACGTCGCTCTGCAACCCACCGTCCTAGTTGCAAGTGAGCGGACGGCATGCGGGCGGATAACCGTGGCGAGGGCTAGCTGGTGACGTTGCCGTACCACTGCTGTATGTATCTCGACCGACGCTGACTGTACGAGACACGAGCTGTTCGTTTTGGTATCAAACTTCTTGTAAATGTCGGGGTGGCAGACAGATATTCTACTACCGTTTAGTGAAACTGCAGTGAGTGCACTTTCACCCATGTCAATCCCCCGCACGCTGGGTGGCTTTGGCGCCTGCTACATAAGCGCGTGAGATCCAACCACCTACCCCTCTATGATATGCACGCCAGTTGAACGAAACCAAGGGGACGGGAGGATCTTTGGTTCTTTGAAAATGCCAGTTGGAAATTGCATGTCCACTACCTCACAGAAGAAACAGCCCGTTCGAACCTCTATTTCTATTTCTTTTTTCGTTGAAGGAGTACTGTGTCTCCCTCATCGACTTGCCCTGCATGCACGTGTCGCGCAGCGGCTATCGGAGAGTTGTATGCACAGCGGCACATAGATCTACATACTTTACCACGGGTAATGTATGTTTGAAGATAATCGTAGGAGTTGGAGAGCACGAACATGATGAGTGAACCAAAAACTATTCAAATCCACTGCCTGTTCTCCGTGTCGTGGTTAGACAAGGGTAGACCCACCTCAGAAATGCCGCCACGACATATACCCAACCCTTCGTAAATTTAAATTTTCGCAAAAAATGCCGGCAAATCCGTATACAATGGTCGGGCAACTTCCCCCTACCTAGTAATACCTACATAGCCGCCATTACGCTGCCTCTCCAACCGTGGGCCTCAGTACTTTTCTAAATCCAGCATCATCCACCGCTCAAGCTGAGTTGATCTGAAATAATACCATTAGCTATCATCATCCCACATGACTGAATACAATTACCGTCGTCCTCCTTCGTTGCTCTGCTGGGAGCCATCTGTTTGTGTGTGTTCCTTCAGATTGATGTTCGTGTGCCAGACACGAACACAGGCACACCAGCGGTAGTCTTGCGAAAAAGAGAGCTACACCAGACAACCAGACAACCAACGGTCTGATCTTTGAGCAAGACGAAAAGAACGAGGACATAGATCTACGACAAGCAGTCTACAGTCTACACCCCTTTTGGGGCGGGAGAAACGCGGAATCTTCTCCGACCCATACTGCTGTGTGTTCACCGTGCGACCAGTCATAAACTTTGCTAAGATACCCTCGCTTTTCCGCCGAAGCTTCAGCTATCTGCTGCTGGAGTGCCGCCACGGTGACGGGTGTTGACGTGAAAAACGTGAACTACAACGAAAGCTGCGTTTGTGGGTGGTGACCTTTACGGCAGAAGGTGCAGATGATACAGCAGTTTTCGACTCGGAACTCACAGCGCGTTCTTCGCCCGAAGATGAACAAGCTGCTCCAGGTCCACCTCCTGGAAGCTGCCGCTACTGCTGCCGGCCTTGGCGGTGTTGGCCATGGTTGCTATTCTCCACTAGCAGCTGCGGCAGCAACGCAGCCGCCGAGCTCTGCCCTCGCTGTGCCTCCCTCCCCCTAGCAGTCTTCTATCATAAAGGAAGGCAGAAGGCAGAAATCATTTCGTACGTGTTCAACGTCTTCAGTCCGAAAGCAGCAGCAGTGGCACTCCCATGTAGGCATACATCTGCCTGCGGTGCTCTACCGCCTTGGTCATGCCCGCGTTCGCTCTCTGTCTCTGTGGTCTGTCTCGCTCTCGCTGGCCAGGTTCTCTGCGTTGAGATATGTATCATATGTCCGTGTGGTGTTCTACAATACTTCACATGATGACGTCATTTCCTGGCAAAATCTTTGAGGTCCCGCCGCACAATAGGCTGGGTGCCTGCACAGGATATGTGCAGTAGTTCAGTACGCATCTACAATCAATTGAACGTGCTGATGCAGGAGTACATATGCATAGACTGTAGCAGTATGTGTTGTGGTCCACGTGCATGCTCAGCAGTAGATACCTGAGGACGATCCGCCTTTCTCTCGCACTTCTCCACGATCACGAGACGTGCACTTTCGACACAGGTATCGTGTGCACGACAAAGGAGATACTATAATACTGCACGCTCTTGAGATCGCCGCCTACAGCAGTACAGCAGTAGTGGTGCTCCAAGCAGTCTACGAGTTATTTAGTCTACGGTAAGCCGAGATAGCTACATAGACTTTATAACCAGTCATGGACTGCAATACGCTGTTGACTACAGTACCAATGGTACATACAATGCTGCTGCTTGCGGAGTGAGGCAGCGACGAGTCGAGCCTGTTATCGACATTCATTGTAGGGGTCAGTCAGGAGCAGTTTCAAAGAGGCAAAAAATGCTACCATCGTCTCTGTTGTAAGCTATGCGTGTACTCGTACATGGGCTACTGTACGACGCTTTTGCAACAGTACTTTGTGTTCTACAAATAATAGCTGTCACTCAAACCAATCCGATGTTGTTCGTCCAGCTTGAAGCCGTTCGTTGGCAAAATGACAACATCACGATCTCGAGAGTCCAGCCGATGGGTACCCTCAGAATTCGAAACGCCGACAGATTCAACGGCAGCATGCCGTATGCACCTTACAATCCCGGCGCTCGTTCGTTCTTCTTGTTGAAACCCTCCGAAAAAACTCGATCACAACAAACCTAAGCGCTGGCCGATAGACATGTCATCACAATGACGTCAAGCACAACAACGACCCTCCCCAGTTTTCTCGTACAAGGTGGGGTCAGCCTATAGTCTAGTAGTGCCGTAGCTTCCACCAGCTCGGCATTATCGCGGTAACGCACAATCCCATTGAAACGTATCATCGGACAGACAGACAATTGTCCATTGTTATGGTGTGTCAAGTATCACGGTGTGGTCGCTAGACCCAATCAGCAGCAAATATGTGACGCCTGTGCCCGGTGACAAGCTTGAAAATAGAAAGACGCATTCACGCCCCCAGCATTGAGGCGGCCTAAAAAGGCGAGGGTGATTGCATTGTGAGGGAAAATCATCGGATGATACAGTATTATAGTGACGAAGGAGGAGGAAAGAGAAGGAAAGACATGGTGATGAATGTATTTGCGGCCTACGCCACTTATTTATCGGGTGACACTTGATGTATTAACTTCACGAGGGGTCGACGACCGTCCTTCACACGGACGAAAGAGGGAGTGCCCCACATGGGCAGCTCCTGCACCAAGGAGGGGCTCCGCAATGCATCGCGGTGCCCGCTACCAAACGGCAATCTTACCAGTCTGCGTGACACCAAAATCATACAGCACACGTATCCAACACCAATGTTCGCAGACCCACGAACACCCTTCCTGGTTCTTCACGCAAGTGACTAACCATCAATGGGGCAAGAACGCCCCTGGATACATCAGAAGTACCAATATGGTAACACATGGAGGGGAAACCCGACGTCCGGGCAAAACCCCTCGAACAAACCCCTACCACCACAAAAACCGTAGCTATCACAGCGGATCACAACGGCCGCACTTACTAGAAAGTCCAAGGCAAGTGCTAAAAACTGCTACAGCTACACCGTCAAATTCATCAACTTGCGCCGGTGGTGCTGCAGGCTGGCCCTGCTAAGGGCCTTGGTAAGGAGGTCCGCGTGTTGCTCCGTTGTCGGAACAAACTTGACCGTAATATCCCCCGACCCAAACAGTCCGTGGATTAAATGAAACCTCACGTCGATGTGTTTCGTGCGACCTGAGCTGAGGGGGTTCTGCACTAACGCTATGGCCCTCTGGTTGTCCTCAAGGACCTAGATGCTACTACCTCTGGTCTCTGGGGCAACAAACCAAAGCACAGCACACACAAACAACGCCTCCTTGACACCCTACCCGGCAGCAATGTAATCGGCTTCCGTCGAAGAAAAAGACACGATGCTCTGCGTCTTGCTACCATGGCTGACTACGGTACCTCCAACCGTCGTCGCCAACCCTGACACCGAACGCCTATCCTCCGTGTCGGCGTAGCTAGCGCCTACATACACGGCCAGCCCTAACCCCGATCCCCGTTGGTAGGTGATGTCGAGGTCCCTAGTCCTTTAAGNTCCCCGTTGGTAGGTGATGTCGAGGTCCCTCGTCCTTTAAGTAGCAGAGGATCTTCTGGATGGCATCCAAGTGCCTCTTCGCCGGGGCGTGAGCGTGGCGCGCTGCCGCGCGCACGGCAAACGAGACGTCTGGACGCGAGAACGTCGACACCCACATCATGCTGCCGATGGCCTCCCTCACCGGCCACTCCCCTCCCTCCTCATCCTCTCGCTTCGGCCCTAGATCGGCACCAGGGGTAGCGCGGATGCGGGAAGTCGATTGCACATCGAAGCGTTTAACCATGCTGTCGATATACGCGGTTTGGGAGATTCTAAGAGTCCCAGCCTCTACATCTCTCTCGATGGCACACCCATCAAACCATGGACACTCTCCAAGGCTTTTGGTGGGAAATTTCTTGTTGCGAGAAGCAAGCAACGCCTCGCAATCCTCGTCAGACTCAGCCACCAAAATGTCACCCACGTAGATCACGATAATCATCACCACGACTTCGTCTACCATCTTGCGGAAAACACACGGGTCCTCCTTGCACTGTTCGAACCCGTTCTCGACTAGCGTATCAGCAGCGTGGTACCCCCACTGCCTACCGCTCTGCTTCAGACCGTAAATCGCACGCTCAGCCTTAGCAATTTTGTGCGATTTGTCCCCGCACCCAGCGGGGAGCCTCAGAAAACCTCCTCGTCTAGCGTGGCGTGTGTGTACGCCTGCTTCACATCCCAGTGATTGAGGTTCATGCCCTTCTCGTTTGCTACCGCAAGCATCAGTTTAATGGATGCGGATGAGGGGCAAGGGGAAGACGAATGGAAATAATCGACGTTCGGGATTTGCGAAAACCCCCTAGCAACCAGACGCGTTTTGAACTTGTCCTTCCTTTCCTTGTTGGTCTTCCAACTAAAACACCGCTTTGAGCTCACAGGCCTGCGCCCCTCTGGCGCACCGTCTACGAATGAAAACGTCCCCGTGCCCAAGTGCCCTTCAAACTCTTCCCTCATGGCCT